AGAGTTTCCCCTACAATATGTACCAGTTCCGACTTACATACAAATTCAACTTAAGAACAAACCTACAGTCCCTATCTTGTACGTAACCCGGGGACTGCCTGTAATTATATTTGCATATTTGCTTTCTTGATTACATAGTAGTTCCAACTACATTGAGTATATATTAGGGATATAAAATGCTATCTTTTGTGTGGTATACATTTGACAAAGTAGGAGACCTCTTGTTTTTACATTGTTTTGCACATTTCTCACACTGCAAATCAACAGACTTCTCTCACCATGACCCCTACTGCATTTTGCCTTTTCTGATAGTTTTGAAGGGTGATTATCGTAGATATTTAGTTACTAACAATTCATTTTTACTCCTTAAGAAGATTTTTGTGAATGCATGGCAGAAGTTGGGCTATTATAATCAACTTCATTAATGTGGCTTGAGTGTGCTACTTTTTAGCTAGAATTTTATGAAGGAGATTTTAAAGGAAGACATTTAAATGTAACCTTCAAAGAGGAAAACCATCGACTTGTCTATTTTTTTCCTTCATAATATATATAAAATGCTTGCTTAGTTCTTTTATAAATGAATTTTACAAAAGGGCTTGGGGGGGGGGGGGTTGTTTTCCTGCTGGTGTTTTATCTGAGACTATCACAAATGTCTAACCACCTCAGACATTACTAGAAACCTGAGATATGGGTTCAATTTTTAACTGAAAAAACTAGAGTAGTTTGAATCCTTAACACACACACTTCTCTTCTCTTAAGGTGCAGTTCTGTAAGTATTAACAACAGTTTAAACAGTTTAGAATCTCTTAAATTTCTCTGTTAGATTGGTATCATTTCATCTGAAAAAGCGGGTTGTGCTCATGAAAGCTCATACCACCATTTACATTTTTTATTAGTCTCTAAGGTGCTGCTGGACCATTAATTGTTTTTTAAGTTTCTTCTATTACAGACTAAGACGGCTACCCTTCTGAATCATTTCTTTAGTTGTCCATAGATTCTTCAAAGAAAAATTAGGTAGTCATGATCAGAATTTTTAATTTCCTAGTTGTCTACTTGCCCTATATGGACTTAATCAGCTTTCTCCTGTTCTATTCCCTATGCATGAAAAAGACTCCCCTTTTCTTTAACATAACTAAGATCAGCTAATGTTTTGCTGTTTTACGTCCATAGTATAGTTTTATTTATAAGAAACTGCTCTTTAGAGCAGAGTTAATGTCTTTAGATATATTGAATAAACTAAAAGTTTCCTGTACTGGAAATCACAATCTCTAAATTACTTGGTGGTACTCTTTCTGTTCTAGGTGCTGTTTTGGTGTGAAGTTTAGTATAAATCCATCAAGAAATAACAAAATACTGAAATTTGTTCAGTAGAACACACAAAATATTAACCTTGATTATGTTAGAAAGCAATTCTATTTTTTAACTTGTATGTTGAGAACATCTATAGATAAAATCCCAGTAGCTGTAATTGGAGATGTATAAAGCCAGAGTACAGGGTCACATTAGTTCATTGCAACACAAATGACATACTTTGGTTATGTCAAATGAATTTTCTGGTGTATCTGACTGGCAGGATATGGAGATTACTGTGCAGGTTGAATGTCCCTGGTCCAGCAACATTGGGACCTGAATAGTCCTGAACAAGAGATGATTCTGAGCCAGGGGAGGTGTCCCCTGCCACCAGCCCCAAGCCAGACAGCCCTTTGCCTCTGTCCCCCACTTTCTCCCTCCCCCCTTTCTCCTGCCATGCTGCTGCTGGCCCCCCGTACTCAGGCCCTTATGGTCATCTGGGGTTCTCCGACCCCACACTGCCATGGTTCCCTGGCCCTGTGCTGCTGTGGTCAGCCAGGTTTCCCCAGCTCCACCCTGCCACGGGATTCTACACTGCCTCATGCTGCCACGGGCTGCTGGGATTCTCAAGCCCTTGACTTCAGCTGCTGCGTTTCCCTGTCCCCATGCTACCATAAGAGGCTAGATTTCCCCAGCTCTGTGCTGCTGCTGGCTGTCAGAGTTCTCCATCTCCATGCTGCCGTGGGTGGGCAAGCTTATGCTTCCTCTGTCCCCCATACTGCCACTGGTTGCTGAGGTTCTCCAGCCTGTCTTCAGCACTTTGTGGGGCTCTGGTCCCTCTGCCCTCAGCTGGGCTGCTGGCCCTCCTCTCGTTAGACTCCTGGGCTCTCTTGTCCGGGAGCATTTGTGATCCTGCCAGACAACAGATGTTGCTAGACTGGAGAGTACTGGTTTTCAGAGGTTCAACCTGTAGTTAATGCATAGGAGGGAGCAGACCAAATCAGCATGGATGTAGATTCCATAATAAGTAAAAATCATTACATTTTCTGTTTTGCAATTTACATTTAATGTAATCAGTAGAGTTTAGAAAATAGAATAACATATTTTTAAATTAGAATAGTTTCTATCATCCATTTTATTCAACCCTTGAAAACCATATGTGCCTTGTTGAAATCATGACAAGTTAAGGAAATTAGCAGTCTTAAGTCCAGATGTTTTTTGTTTTGTTTTTCGTTTTTGTTTTTTGCTATTTCTGGCTGCTGTCCTTAGAAGAATTTCAGTTTTGGCAGCATAATAAATAAAACACTGTTGTTTTAGGATTTTTGTTGTTGTTGTTAACTCCTCATTTTCCTTAATTCATACATCAAGTAATGTTTATTCAGGATTTTGTGGATGTAAAGCATTGTGTAACTCCTGCTCTCATACATTATATGGGTTGTCATTGACAATAGTATTTTAATTATAGTCCCCCCCCTTTCTCCCAAAGAATTATTTGTATTATTTCATGGAGCCCTTTGCCACCTGGTGCTTTACACTTCTGCTCAAGCGCGCTGCTGCAGACACATACAGGCATCTTAGACAAAGAAAAGTGAACATGATTCTCATCCGAACCCATTAGTGCTGCTTTTTATGCACTTAAAATATACACTTTATGCTTTATTTTTGAAAGCTCTGTACATTCGTTAACTTGCCTTCATAACACAATTTAGATAAGTGTTTTACTCTTTTACAGATGGTGAAAACTCGTAACTCACTGCAGTTAAATTGATTTACTTAAGGCCACACAGTGAGTTGGTTGCAAAAGCCCTCAGGAATTCCTGACTTTGGGACCCAAAGTCCAGCAGAGAATGCTGTGTCTCAGTAAAATAAAGACATCACTGTTGGGCAGAATGAGGCATTCGAGTTGTCCCATTGAGCATTATCTTTTGGTCACTAAGCCAGATACGAAGACATTTTGATTTCTTCCTGGTGACAGAATGCACTGGAGAGTCTCCTTATCCCACTGCTGGTTGCAAAAAAAATCTTGATTGCCAGAGGCAGTTTGCTTATCAGGAAGTCTAATTAAGAACAAAAGAACAGCCATTCTGGGTCAGACCAACGGTCCATCCACCCCAGGATCCTGTCTGCCGACAGTGGCCAATACCAGATATCCCAGAGGGAGGGAACAATAAATGTAATCCTCACGTGATCTCGCCCCTGTCACCAACCTCCAGAGAAACAGCATTTAGGGACACCATTCCTACCCATCCTGGCTAGTAGCCATTGATGGACCTAACCTCCATGAATCTAGCTTGCTCTTTTTTGAACCCCGTTAAAGTTCTAGCCTTCACCGAATCCTCTGGCAAGGAGTTCCACAGGTTGACTGTGTGCTGAGTGAAGAAAAACTTCCTTTTGTTTTAAACCTGCTTTATAATTTATATTACATATAAAGAATTATAATTCTTCTCTTCTAAACAAATACAGGTTGTATCTCCCTTAACCAGGACTCTCTGGTCTGGCAACATCCACAGTCCGGCAGGACCACGGATGTTTTTGGACCACAAAGTCCAGGTATAAGGAGGTCGGGCTGCAGGGCAGGAGTGGGCGGGAGGGCGGTGCGACTCAGCCAGGAGCCCAGTGTTGAGGGAGAAGGGTGCAGCAGGGAGTTCTGGCCCCTGCTGCTGGGCAAGGGGGCTGGCAATGGCTGCAAAGTCCCTGCAGCCCCAGAAGCTGTGGCCACCACAGAGCCCTGGGAGCACTAAATGCTGCGGAGCTCCAGCCTGGGGAGCCAGGGTTGGGCAGGCAGCACGGGGGCTCAGCTGGAGTCCTAGCTGGGGGTAGCATGTTAGGAGGGACCTTCCCTTGTTCAGTAAATCCCCTTGTTCGGGACCAGTCAGATCCTGAGGGTGCCAGACAAAGAAGATCCAACCTGTATATTGTATTTTACAAAAAAAAAAAACCCTACATTTTGAGAAAATGAATGTTTTAGTAGTAACGATGATTCTGGTGATCATTTATTAGAACGGTATATTTGTGTAAAATAAACAATATTCCTTTGGATAGTTATAGCAGCTTTCCTAAGGCTAACTTACAGAAGAGACTTCCATAATTACTCGTTTGTGTTCTATAATTGGAAATATTTTTTAAAAATATATAGTGTAGAAGATGAACGCTTGAGAGAATGTATGGAACGTAACTGTCAAAAATTGTATATTTAGGTGCAACTGTTTTTATTTTGTGCATATTTTTACTTCCATAATGTTTTTCTTCAAAATAATTAAACTGATCAGCGTAGGAAACCATTTTTCTACCTCTCTTTTAACTATACTTTCAGAGCTACAACATTTAAAAGGATCTATGCTTGTTCTGGCTTCTTTATTTCCTATTTTCTCGTTTTACAAAATTACTCTAAGTTACTCACATAAAAAGTCTGACACTTCTTAAGAAGTGTTTACATGACTGTTTTATTTGTAGTGACCTAGAATTCAGGCATTCTGCATGATATGTGTCTGAAGAAACAACATGTACACTAGTAACCATATATCTTTGGAATTAAAATGAAACAGAGGAGACCTTGGATTACCATCATAGTAAAATGCTTTACCTAGTTTTAAATAATATGTAGACTTATTAAGGAAAAATTGCATGTACAAAACTCTAATTTCTAGAGTGAATCATGTTACATTTTGCTATCTTTTTTTTCTTGCTAATACCAGCATTTTTTTCTTTAGTCACTTTTCCGCACCTTGCAGGTTCTGCTCCTTCATGGCCTAGTCTTGTGGACACAAGCAAACAATGGGATTATTATTCACGAAGAGAGAAAGATAGAGAACGAGAGAGAGATAGAGATCGAGAGAGGGATCGGGATCGAGATCGTGATAGGGAACGAGAACGGACCAGAGAGAGAGAGAGGGAACGTGATCACAGCCCAACTCCAAGTGTTTTCAACAGGTTAGTAATAAAATAGTTAACTATAATGCTGTATTTAAATGCAGTGTCCGTGTTAGGTAGTGTGTTTCAACACTTAAAACTTGTAGTGCACAGCTGTATGTTCTCTGGGGACAAGAGGGTGTGGGTGTCCTTCTCCACTTTTTTTTTTCTTGGAAACTATAGCAAAAATTTCCCAATGTAAAACAGAAGTGTAAAATATGTTTTAGATACTGCTTATAGGGCTCCAGGCATTAAGAGTATGATTTAAACTTTGTTTATGAGGGAAAGAAGCAGCTCTTTGACCTCATTAATTCAAAAAACAACTGTGGAATCTGTGGGTTCTCTTTATTATTTTACAGTTGGATTTTCTGCATTTTTTCCAAGAGCAGTGTCCACCTATGGTTGTCTCTTATTTCAAGCAGTGGTATTCCT